TCCCACCTTGCAGTCCACTGCCAGCCCCGATTTTCTCCCATTTTTCCCCGTTTTTATCCCGTCCCACCTTGCAGTCCACTGTCAGCCCTGATTTTCTCCCCTTTCCTCCCGTTTTTACCCATTTTTATCCCATTCCCCTCAGCTCTTTCCCACTCCGTGTTTCTCTGTCCTGCTGCCAAGCCTGTTCCTTCTGATGAGCCACAAAAAATCCCCCGGGGCCGAGCAGAGCTCCGCGGTGACAGTGGCACATGAGTCACCGGGTGCCTGGGGATGTGGCACTCCTTGTCACCATTTCCCAGGGATGCTCCTCCACTCCTGCATTTCCATCCCTCTTTTAGTTTATTTATTTATTTTTTTTCTTCTCCACAATCGGTTCTCAGCTCCTGGATTTGTAAATCCTTCCCAGTGCAGACTGGTCCCCATCCCTGTTTTCCAGTCTGAAGGGCGAAGCGACGGATCCTGACTGTGAGGTTTTGGGGTTGACACCCTGGAAGCTGGGACGGGGTCAGCTCAAGGCAGGGGATGCAGGAGGATTGGGGTTCAGGGAAGATTTGGGATCTGGGAATGTTGGGATGCAGGATAAAAGGGCTTTGGGAATATTGGAATGCCAGGGAAGGGGTTCAGGGAAGATTTGGGATCTGGGAATTTTGGGATGATGCAGGATGGAGGGACCCTGGGCACTTTGGAATGCCAGGGAAGGGGTTCAGGGAAGATTTGGGATCTGGGAATTTTGGGATGCAGGATGGAGGGGTTCTGAGAATATTGGAATGCCAGGGAAGGGGTTCAGGGAAGATTTGGGATCTGGGAATGTTGGGATGCAGGATGGAGGGGTTCTGGGAACATTGGAATGCCAGGGAAGGGGTTCAGGGAAGATTTGGGCTCTGGGAATTTTGGGATGCAGGATGGAGGGGTTCTGGGAATATTGGAATGCCAGGGAAGGGGTTCAGGGAAGATTTGGGATCTGGGAATTTTGGGATGCAGGATGGAGGGGTTCTGGGAATATTGGAATGCCAGGGAAGGGGTTCAGGGAAGATTTGGGCTCTGGGAATTTTGGGATGCCAGGGAAGATTTGGGCTCTGGGAATGATTCAGGATAAAGGGGCTCTGGGAACATTGGAATGCCAGGAAAGGGGTTCAGTCAAGATTTGGGATCTGGGAATTTTGGGATGCAGGATGGAGGGATTCTGGGAATATTGGAATGCCAGGGAAGGGGTTCAGGGAAGATTTGAGGCTTTGGGAATGTTGGGATGCAGGATGGAGAGGCTCTGGGAATATTGGGATGCCTGGGAAGGGGTTCAGGGAAGATCTTGCTCGTGGGGGCACCCCAAACCCTGCTCGCTGTGCAGGGCCCCCCACTCTGAGCTCAGCCAGTCCCAGGAGCACCCAGCACCCACAGCCCCGGGATATGGGGCTGGACATCTGTGGGTCCCAATTTCCCACCCTCGGGAAGCCATCCACGGGAAATGGGGGTGGGTTCGGACATCCCACGCTGCAACGTGCATTTCCAGCTGTAACCCCAACACCCCCCCCAAAAAAAAAAAGTAAAAAATTCATCGGGGGCTTTTGTGTCGTGTTGTAGCCTAGGGGCCGAGCCTGGCCAGCCGATTTGATCCCAAAAAATCCCAATCCAGCCCCGCGGAGGCCGTGACTCAGCCGTGGCGGGGGCGGGCGGGCTGAGCTGCTCCGCGGGATCCGGGGGGGCCCTGCCTCACGCCCCCCGTCCCACCCGCCGCCCCCCGCCGCCCGCAGCCTCCGGAGCGGCTCCATCCCGGCGGCTCCGTGCCGGGAGCCCCGAGCCCGCGGGAACTCCGCTCGCTCATCCCGGCAGCTCCATCGCCCCCTCCCCGCTGGGCCGAGCCCCCCGCCCCCGCCGAGCCCCCCCCGGTTCTCGGCGTGCCGTGGTTGATCCCTCCCTTCCCGGTGCTGCGCCGATGGACTCTCCCAGCGCTCCCGGTGCGCGGCGGAGGCTGCGGCGGTAGCGCTGGTACCCGGGAGCTGCCGGCGCGCCGTTTCGCTGCCGGAGCATCCTCTTTCCGTTATCCCTTCCCGAGCATCCTTCCTCGCCGGAGCATCCCCCTCGCCGGCGCCGGGAAGGAGCTGGAGCGCGGCGAGGGCTGAGCCAGGTAAGCAGGAACAAAACGGGTTTATAGCCCGCATCCCCCCTCCCCGCGGCGTTAATCGGCGTCCTCGGAGCCGCTGATGGATTCGGGGTTCGTTTTCCTACTTGCTGTGGCCATTTTGTCCTGGAAAACCTTCTCCAGAGCCCAGCTCTGCCTTTGGATGTGCGTTTTTGGGGGCTCCTCTCATCCCCCCCCGTGCCTGTGGCCGCAGAGCAGCCGGAGGGGATCGGGAATTCGCCGCAAGGACGGGAAGGGGGAACCGGGGGGGGTTTTTGGGGAAGGGGTAGCAGGGGGAGATGTTGGGGGGTGACCTTGGACACGAGCGATTCCCAACTCTTCCCCCTTGTCGCCATGTTCCTGGCGTTCCTGGCGTTCCGCAGGGAGGCTGGGGGGGTTTTGGGGGGGGATGCAGCCCCCCAGTGTGGGACTCCCGGGGGTTTTGGGGTGCACGGTTGCATCCATCCTCGGCTGCGCTTGGATGCGTGGCAGGAGGAGACGGATCCAGACCCGATAACCTTGTGCAGAGCTGTCCAACGCCACGACGGGGCTGCAGGGCCAGCGGCGTGTTCAGCCCCCAGATGGGCATTTTTTGGGGGGACCCCCCTGGCTCCCGCATTTCAGGGACTGTGCTCTGTGGGATTTCTGGCTCTCCTGTGGGATCCGACCCCTGATCTCAGGCAGCTCTGGCTCCTGGCGTCGGCTCGGCCGCTCCGGGCTGCCCGGTTTGTACGGCCGCTCTCTGTCACCGAGCCAGCCGTGACCTTGCTCCCCGGCCCATCCTCTTCCTCACCGTGCACCCAGCCTCTCCCTGCTCCCCCATTCCTCCTCCCGGCCCCCCAATACCTCCTGCTCTGTGCAATGCCAGCCCCACACGGGGATGTTCCAAAGGGAACCGCAAGCCTGGCTGGAGCAAAATGACCTTGGTCATGGATCAGGAGCTTCACAGGCCCACGGGACCCCCGGGGAGGGGATTTGGGGTCTGCCCGCAGCCAGAGGGGAGGACATGGGGGGGAATTTGCCATTTTATCCTGTAAAACCTGCCTCTGCTCGGGAATTGGGACCCGTGCTTGCCGCAGCCCCCCTCTCTGCAGGGTTTCCGAAGGGCTAAATTTAGCGTCCCTGCGTGCCCTGTCCCCTCGCTGGGCAGGGGGGGGACACGTCGCCGGCTGCGTCCCTCTGCCCGCAGCTCCTTCTAAAAATAGCATTTTTTGGGGAGGGGGAGGTGGGGAGGGTCACGACGGCCCCTGAGGGTGGAGCAGCAGCATCGGGCTGGGGGGCTCCATCCCTGTCACGAGCTGAGCCGGGCTCTGTGCAGTGGGTGTGGGGACGCTGGGGTGTGGGATGCTGGCATGTGAGGGGACAAGGAGATGCCACCCCCAGGGATTCTTCTCCCCCCAGGGGACTCGTGGTACCCCCAACCCCCTTTGGCTGGGTCGGTGCTGGTGTCTCCCGCAGTAAATCCTGCAGTGAGCGTGGCCTGGCACGCACGGGTCACTGTCACTCGAGGGACCCCCCAAGGGGCTCCTGTACCTTGAGCCACCCAGCCAGGGCAGTGCTGGGAGGGACCTCCATGCCCTCAGGGGCTGACCTCCCTCATCCTCCCTGTGGTGCCCAAGGAAATGGGGAGCTTCGGTCCAGACGTGCTGATGGCCTTGTTTTTTTGGGGTGACTTGCAGCCCTGGGGATGCTCAGGGGCAGCCGTGTCCCTGATGTCCCCCCCAGCTCCCCCTGTGCTTTGGGATGAACGCAGAAGGGATGGATCCAGGGGGACTGGGGGGTCCCAGTGAGCTGGGGCAGCTGGAATCCCCCCGGTGAGGGGACGGGGGCTGGTATGGAGCCAGCGTCTCTCAGCCCGTCCCCAGTCCAGCCCCCTCCTGCCGCTTCACCGGGGGGGGGTCCCCAAATCCTCCTGTTTCCATCCGAGACGGAGAAAAAGCGCGAGGTGGCACGCAGGGCTGCTACCACCCAAGCTCAGCCTGGTTTTGTCTGGGCTCCCCAGGTCCAGGCTGGCATCCAGGGTCCTCCCACAGCCCGTTCCACGGATGGGTAGCTCCATCACCCCTCTCCCCTCACCCCGGGCCTGAGGGCGCAGCCCCCGACGCAGAGACCACCCCCCGTCCACCCGCAGCGCCCCGTGCCAGCCCAAGGGCACCATGGACGAGTCGTTCCGGGACCGGACCGCGTTCATCCGCGGCGCCAAGGACATCGCCAAGGAGGTGAAGAAGCACGCGGCCAAGAAGGTGAGCCGGGGCATGGACCGAGTGCAGGACGAGTACACCCGGCGCTCCTACTCCCGCTTCGAGGAGGAGGAGGATGACGAAGACTACGCGCCCCAGGACGGCTACTACCGAGGGGGCGAGGGGGCCAACGAGGAGGAGGGGGTGTCCAGCGACGCCACGGAAGGCCACGACGAGGAGGACGAGATCTACGAGGGCGAGTACCAAGGGATCCCCCGGCAGGAGTCGCTGAAAGGGGGGGAGCGCCTGGGGGCCGCGGCGGCCGCCGGCGCTTTCGACGACGGCGAGGGGCAGCGGAGGAAGGACCGGGAGGAGCTGGCGCAGCAGTACGAGCTGATCCTGCAGGAGTGCGGCCACGGCCGCTTCCAGTGGACCCTCTACTTTGTCCTGGGCCTGGCCCTCATGGCTGACGGCGTTGAGGTCTTTGTGGTGGGCTTCGTCCTGCCCAGCGCCGAGAAGGACATGTGCCTCTCCGACTCCAACAAGGGCATGCTGGGTGAGGAGAGGGGCACGGGGGGCAGGCAGGGGGATGTGGGAGCGGTGGGTAGGGGGGTCAGAGGGGCAGGGTGGCACGGAGGGGCACTGGGAGGTGTGGGGAGGTGTGGGGATACGGAGAGATGTGTGGAATGTAGGGGGACATGAGGACATGTTGGGGGGGCAGAGGAACACGGGAGGGTGGGGACACGGAGCTGGGGATGGGGGAGGACGTGGGGGGCTTGGGGAGATGTTGGGGGGTCATAAGGGCTGTGGAAGAACACAGGGAGAATTGGGAGGCCGTGGGATGTGGGGTCCAGGAAGGGATGTGGGGGCAAGGAGGGGTGAAGGACACCCTGGTGAGGGCTCCCACCATCCTCCTCCCAGTCCTACACTGGTCCCCACATGAGCAATGGTGAGGGGAGCGAGCTCAGAAACTTGGGCTGACTAGTGGATGCTGAGAGTGGGTTTGGGGGGCTGTGGGGGGCTTTGTCCTGTTGCTTTCCCCCTTCTCTGTGATGCCTGCCAGAGCCTGACAACCCCCCCAAATCCCAGGGGACATCAGTGCCCCCCATCCCTGAGATTTGGCAACCTTGGGACAGGGGGAGGGGCTGGCTGTGGGGGTCCTGGGGGTACCTCTGCCCCCCCAGTCCCTGAGCGGAGCAGGGGGACAACGCGGGATCCTGTCCCTTCCTTCAAGGGGACGCAGCGTTTTGGGGAGGGGGTCCCTGCCCGCTGCCCTCCCCCAGTGCCGAGGATGCTCTCCCTCCTCCGGGTGACTCGGGGTGCAGGTCCCTGTGTCCCCCAGGACTGACCTCGCTGCGTGTCCCCCTCGCCAGGCCTCATCGTGTACCTGGGCATGATGGTGGGCGCGTTCGTGTGGGGCGGGCTGGCCGACCGGCTGGGCCGAAGGCAGTGCCTCCTCATCTCCCTCTCCGTCAACAGCGTCTTCGCCTTCTTCTCCTCCTTCGTCCAGGGCTACGGCACCTTCCTCTTCTGCCGCCTGCTCTCGGGCGTGGGGTAAGGGGGGCCCGGCCGCGCGGGGACCCCCGGAGCAGGGGGTGGCACCGTGGGGCGTGGGGCGGGGGGGTGATGCCGCTCCCTCCCCTCCGTCCCCAGCATCGGCGGCTCCATCCCCATCGTCTTCTCCTACTTCTCGGAGTTCCTGGCGCAGGAGAAGCGCGGGGAGCACCTGAGCTGGCTCTGCATGTTCTGGATGATCGGGGGCATCTACGCCTCCGCTATGGCCTGGGCCATCATCCCCCACTACGGTAGGAGCCCTGGGCTGGTGGCACGTGTGGTGTGCTCCGGGGCTCGGCCCCACCGCCGTGTCCTGTCCCTGTCCAGGCTGGAGCTTCCAGATGGGCTCCGCGTACCAATTCCACAGCTGGAGGGTCTTCGTCCTCGTCTGCGCCTTCCCCTCGGTCTTCGCCATCGGGGCGCTCACCACCATGCCGGAGAGCCCACGCTTCTACCTTGAGGTGGGGTCTGGGGGGGCCGTGGGGGGAATCTGGGGTGCAGCAGGGTCCTGGAGTGGGGGTCCCCTCGAGGAAGGGACGCCCGGGTAGGGGTGGAGATGGGACAACACAGACAGGGGGTGGTGAGGTCTGGACAGGAAGCCCCAGGTGGGTTTTGGAGAGGGGTGGGAGTGGGCAGGAACCCCCAAGTGGGTGATGGGACCCCCCCAGAGGGATGATGAGGTGATGAAGGTGGTGATGAAGATGGTGGAGGGATGAAGACGGTGGAGGGATCCCCGGCTGGGTGGCAGAACCCAGGTGGGTGGTGGAACCCAGACTGCTGATGGGGGGTCAGGGTCCAGCTCCGGGGTGTCCCAGGGTGACTTTTTGCTGCCCTCACAGAACGGGAAGCACGACGAGGCCTGGATGGTGCTGAAGCAGGTCCATGACACCAACATGAGGGCCAAGGGCCACCCTGAGAGGGTCTTCTCGGTAAGGACCCCCCAGAGCTCAGCCCTGGGGTCCCCTGGGTGTCCTCCAGGCACAGGGGTGCAATTCCCACCTCCGGGAAGAGCATCACCTGGGGAATGTGGTGCTGCTGTAACAGGCGGGGAAACTGAGGCACGAGGCACTGCTTCCTGGTGTCCCCAAACTGTCCCACCCACAGGTCACCCACATCAAGACCATCAAGCGGGAGGACGAGCTCATCGAGATCCAGTCGGACACCGGGACGTGGTACCGGCGCTGGCTGGTCCGATGCCTCAACCTGTCCCAGCAGGTGAGGCCGGGGCCACCCAGGGGTCCCTGTGCCCCCTGTCACCTCCCATGTCCTTGTCACCTCCCATGTCCCTCTGCAGGTCTGGAGCAACTTCCAGCAGTGCTTCGTGCCCGAGTACCGGCGGGTGACGCTGATGATGATGGCGGTGTGGTTCACCATGTCCTTCAGGTGCTGCGGGGTGGGACGGGGTGGGGTGGGATCCATGGGATAAAACGGGATCTGTGGGATGTTATGGGATCCATGGGATGAGATGGGATGGGACAAGATGGGATGGGATGGGATGGGATGGGATGGGATGGGATGGGATGGGATGCATGGGATAAGATGGGATCAGTGGGATGGGATTGATGGGATGTGATGGGATCCATGGGATGGGATGGGATGGGATGGGATCAGTGGGGTGGGATGGGATGGGATGGGATCAGTGGGGTGGGATGGGATCCATGGGATGGGATCCATGGGATGGGATGGGATGGGATCAATGGGATGGGATCCATGGGATAAGATGGGATCAGTGGGATGGGATGGAATTGATGGGATGGGCTGGGATCAATGGGATGTGATGGGATCCATGGGATGAGATGTGATGGGATTGACGGGATGGGATCAATGGGATGGGATCCATGGGATGGGATGGGATCCATGGGATGGGATGGCATCAGTGGGATGGAATGGGATGGGATCCATGGGATGGGATGAGATTGATGGGATGGGATGGGATCCATGGGATGGGATCAATGGTGGGTCGGGGCAGCACCAAGCGGGATGGGATGGAACCAGCACCACTGGGCTAGCACTGGGAGCTCAGGGCTGGCCCTGGCAGCCCTGGGCCAGCTCTGGCACACCCGGGTGTGTGGTGCCCGCTCACCCCTGTCCCCGCAGCTACTACGGGCTCACCGTGTGGTTCCCGGACATGATTAAGCACCTGCAGAGCATCGAGTACGCGTCGCGCACGAAGCTCTTCACGCGCGAGAAGGTCCGGCACTTCACCTTCAACTTCACCCTGGAGAACCAAGTGCACCGTGGTGGGGAGTATTTCAACGACAAGTGAGTGAGGAGGGGAGGCTGAGCCTGGGGTTGCTGAGCTTGGGGCTGCTCATCTGGGGTCCCCCTCCTGTCCCCCACCCCGTGCAGGTTCATCGGGCTGAAGATGAAGTCGGTGACGTTCGAGGACTCGCTCTTTGAGGAGTGTTACTTCGAGGACATCACCTCCAGCAACACCTTCTTCAAGAACTGCACCTTCATCTCCACCGTCTTCTACAACACAGGTGGGGCAATGGGATCCCCGCGTCCACTCAGGGGGTCACCCACCAGGGTTTTGATGGAGATGGGGGTGAGCCACCAGCTTGGAGGAGGGTCAGGAAAGCCCCCAGCGGCACGATGGAGTTGGGGTGGTAGAGGTAATGTGGTCCTCAAGGGGGTGGTGGAGGTGTGCTCGGCCCATGTCTTGGTTTGAAAAGCAAAACCAGTGAGAGGCTCGGAGTCAGAAATACAATTTATTAGGAAAAAGGGAACAAAGAACAAAATACATACAACAGCACAAAAGAAGAACAACTGACAGAGTTGGAGATGCAGCCTGACACTCGCTGGGGTGGTGGTGGCAGATACAGTTCTGTCCAAGCAGTGCTCCTGCAGACTGATGGAGTTTCCCTCTGGAGGTCCAGAGCAGAGAAGGTCTCAACTGTTCCACTTGGAAGAGGGGATTTATTTGCTGTCTGCACAACCCCATTTATATCCTTGATGGCATAGTTTGGCTCCTCCCACTGGGCGGAGCCTCACAAGAGAACGTTGTGATCTTATCAATCATGTGGCTAAAGGAACAAAGGAACAACGGGGTCCTCCTGGAGGGACATAATTTGGCTCCTCCCACTGGGCGGAGCCTCACAAGACAACATTGTGATCTTATCAATCATGTGGCTAGAAGAACTGGGTCCTCCTCGAGGGACTTATCTCTGAGTTATGAGATAAGGGGAAAAAAAAAGGAATTGCAGCTCGAGGTGGTAATGGAACACACCCCAATATTACAACCTAGGACACCCAGCAGGTGGGGCGGGAGGGGGGTGCACGGAGGTTGGGGTGACCCCCACGGCCCCGCTGTGCCCCCAGATCTCTTCGAGTACAAGTTCATCAACAGCCGGGTGCTGAACAGCACGTTCCTGCACAACAAGGAGGGCTGCCAGCTGGACTTCAGCGACGACAACAACGCCTACATGATCTACTTTGTCAGCTTCCTGGGCACCCTGGCCGTGCTCCCCGGGAACATCGTCTCGGCCCTGCTCATGGACAAGATCGGCCGCCTGCGCATGCTGGGTGGGCGGCGGGACGGGCTCGGGGCAGCCTGGTGGGGCTGGGGGCTCCTGGAGGTGCCTTCAGGCTCTCCATCTTCTTCACCCACCTCCCACCTGCTGGGTCACTTCATCACCTTCACCCCGCTGGGTCACCCCACCTCCATCACCCCTCTGGGGACTTTCCTGATCTTCCTCCCGCCCGTTGGGTCACTTCATCACCATCACCTTCACGCCGCTGGGTCACCCCACCTCCATCACCCCTCTGGGGACTTTCCTGATCCTCCTCCCGCCTGTTGGGTCACCTCCATCTCTGGTGACCTCTTGGGGACCTCCTGGTGGGTCACGTTGGGTCACCTCCATCTCTGGTGACCTCCTGGGGACCTCCTGGTGGGTCACGCTGGGTCACCTCCATCTCTGGTGACCTCCTGGGGACCTCCTGGT